ATCAACGTGGCAGCTAGTGCCACAGAGTTGTTTGAACTTCTTTTCCCGCAACGTTGCGACAAACCTCCACACCATGAGGAATTAAACAACGTCGTTTTCCTCAGCAAAGCTGTTCCTCCAAAAACAGCTTTGCCTTTTTTTTTCTAAACAACTTTGCTTCCCGACCATGTATTTTATTACTTTCGGGCAAGGATGTAGCCCATTTTCCCTGTGTTGTGGCCAAAATAATGTTGCTAGAAAGAAAACAATCAACACAACTTAATCCAACGACCATGATTGGTCATTTTTTTACCGCAATAGTGTTACTTCTTCCACATGGCCGTAAAGCTATTTCTTACAAATCGGCTTCGATTTTTCAACAGTATTGTTCCAACAACATTTTTTGGCCAAGTGCTATGCTCTTTTTACCTCTACAGCGTCGTGCCCCCCAACAATGTCGTTAAGAAGAAAAATAAAATGACACCTCTACTACGTGGCTTAGGCAAAAGCGGCCATGTTTGGTCCTTCTTTCCTTATTAACCATTATAAAAAAAAAATTAAGCCACATTTAATTCTTTGTCGATACTGTGACTATCTCGACAACAAAGTAACCGACGGACCATATTTAACAACTCTGGCCAAAAGAAAAAAAAATCGTTTAGCCAACACAAACATACACCAACGGCCTTGATTATGCTAATGCAACGCCGATAGTCTAAGTAGCTCAGTTACTCATGAATCCAAAATAAAAAGTGATAATTGGCTAAACAACATGATTGCAACATATCCATGCAATATTTCATGACATGCATACGTAAAATAAAACTTTGTAGCCTTTCAGAAGCATAGTTAACCCGTACCTGTCAGACTCCTGCAAACTGGCACTATGAAACTTGAATGTGGCTCCTCCTTCGCGTCAAGGTTGATTTCTTCCACAATGTCGCATGCATCACCACTACTTCCTCTCCCAATTTGTTACTCGCATCCTCGCCGTTGATCGGCAACCCCTCTAGCAAGGCCGTGATTTCGGCCTTCTCCACCCTCTCTTGAGGTGGCTTACTCAAATTTTGGTGGACCACCTAATGCAAGCATTGATGGTCTCACAATATCAGACAACGAGTTCAAGCACGCCTTACCCAACACCTTTGTGCTTGAAACTGCGACGTTGCATGGTCCCCCTTCCATACTTCTAACTTTTTGAGGACCCAGGACTTTGTGGTACAAAAGAGCTTCGACAATGTTGCCCCCCACAACGTTGACCATATTGACGCCCACACCGTTGGGAAACGGGTCAGTGTCAACAATCATGGCCTCCTTCCTCGGCTCCGGTACCTTGAACCGACCTTTTTCAATAGCATCCTGTACCACGTTTCGAAACACTGCACACATATTAGTTGAGTGAGACACATTGTTGTGCCACTTACAGTAGCGTTTCCCTTTTAATTTTTCAGCTGGCGGGATAGTATGCCCCCCAATTAACTTAATTTGACCATCTTTGTAAAGCTGGCCGAAAATCAGTTCTGATTTTGAAACATCGAAGGAATATTTCCTAGTTTGAATCGGAGCACGATTGGGCTTTCCACCTTGTGGTTCCCCATCGGCCTTGGCTAGAGAAGCACACACATATGGCTTCCCCTGCACAATCTCGGCCAAATCAACTTCAACCTCGTCAACACCGCTGCCGGCGTTATTCACACCATAGTTTTCAAAATTAGGGAAATATTGTCCACGAGAGCCACTTCTCTTATGTTCTTCTTCATGGAGAAGAGATTCGTATCTAACTGCGCAGGACATCAATTGAAACAAATCAGAAAACTCCCTATCTTGAAACTTTTTACGAAGTTCAAAATTCAATCCACCCTGGGCCAGTTTAACAAACTCGCGTTCTGTCAAGTTCACAAAACAGCGATTTCTTGCATTTTTAAAGTTTGTTAAAAAGTGTTCCACTGTTTCTCCTGGCTGTTGGCGCATTCGTGCCAAATCTGCCATTGTTACTTCTGGCTCAGAACGGTAGAACTGGGCATGGAACATTTGTTCCATTTGCTGCCAAGTTTGAACCGAGTTCGATGGCAAATTGACGTACCACGCGAATGCGGGACCGGTCAACGAGTTGCCAAACAAACGCAACTTCAAGAAATCACTCACATCACCACACTGAACCGTGAATCGTCCAACATGCTCGACGGTGGACTGATCCCCAGTCCCGCTGAAGGTGATGAAATCAGGCACGCGAAAACCACGTGGAAAGGGGTAGTATCTATCAACCCAATCCGGATATGGTTTTCGATACACCGGCGGCATCGCTGGTCTAATCCCTAAACCAAACTGATCCGCCAGCATCTGTGCTACTTGATCTCGAATCGCATTAACGTCTTGCCCCCCGAGTTGCCCCCCTTGTGGTACGAATCCACCAGGATCCATGCCAAGCCCGTTTGGAGGAGGAGGCACGTTTTGTGGGTAGCCGCGTGGCGGAACATGATCATTGTTGATCGTTCCTCCACCACCAGCACCGCTCATCGGAGCCACGTAAGGTCTGGCCTCCGGAATATTTTGTGGACCCACACTGTGAAACGGCGGTGGTTCAACCCGAGTGTGAGCAGCAGTGCTAGTCTCGCCAAGATTAACTCGCGGAGTTGGTGGGTTCATCACCGGTGTCGGCGAAGCTCCTTGTCTTGGCGGACTAATTCGAGCACTGTTGTTTGGAAAACCAGTTTCGCTGTTTAAATTGTTTTCACCGTTTAGCGGCAAATCCCTAGGTTGCGTTACTGGTCTACCCAAGAGCTCCCTGATTTCATTCATATCACGTAGATTTTTATCCCCGAAAACATCAAAATCATGTCTGTTTTTAGTCACAACTTCAAAGAGTTGGCCTAAACGCCTATCAACACGAGACTCAAGAGAATCATGCCGCGCAGTTAAAGCGTCAAAACGTTGATTTACCTCGCCTTTGAAGCCTGCGAACTCATTGTTGAGGCTAGCAAACATGCGACGATTCTCCTCCATGAAATGGCGGATTGACAGATCCCCAGTCGCCCCAGCTGTGGACGGCGGATTCTCGGACCCGCCGATGTCTTCAGCACCGATTCCTTGGCCTCCTTCAATGTTGGCCACATGTTCCTCCACGATTCCGGGCGGGACATCCCCTTCCGGATTCCTTCGTCGCGGAGCCATTCGAACACACGTGTCCCACCAGGTGTGCCAATTTGTTTCGTTGGCGAAACTCGCGTGTTCAATGTGCACTGGTTTCAAGTAAACACAAACACACAAAATCAGCAAAAGATCGTCAAATATCCGCCGCCGAAGTCGGCGTCGTTGATTTGATCGATTAAAGCAGAAACCAAGACGATCGTCAAATGGCCGCCGCCGGTGTCGGCGTCGTTGATTTGATCGATACACCTTTGACCTCTAATCAAACAACTGTTATTCGGTTCAACACCTCTCCAAACTACGTTCGAACGAGGGTGTTCGACGAATAAACAGAGAATCGAACCAGGAGTGTTCTAAGTTACGTTACCTCTACTCCTATGGAGGTTCCTCTGGAGAGCTCCGCGACTACGACTACAAGCTATGACTACGACTCTGCAAAGGAGGTCTTTGACAGAGCGGTTCTACGAAAACTAGAGAGAAAAACTGATAATCTGCGACGGTGCAGTTTTTGAGTTGATTTTGCCGTCCCGAGCTTCTCTCTCTTCCCAACCTTTATACTTCTCGCTTCTTCTCGTCGTAGTAACTGCCTTCGCGCCTTTGTCTCCCACGTCTTCACTCCTGTCAACCGTGCAGGTAACTTCCTCCTTGTTGCGTGAATATCACGTGCCCTCGAAACCGCTCTTGCTTTGCAGAAACCTGCAGAAACTCGGCGAAACGACCTACAACCTTGTCAATGTAACGATGCCGTTTCACCAACACCGCGGCATCGCCTTTCACCAACCGGTGTCGTTTTACTTTTCCGCGGCATCGCTTTCATTAAACGACACCGTCTAAAATAATAATAAAATACTAATTAATTAGACCAGCCCTCATTGTTAACTCGCCGTCGAACTTTCACCCCTCGGCTTCGTTCTTAGTTAAACAACATCGTTTCCTTGTCCCGCGATGTCGTTGAACTTTTGAGCTTCGCGACACTGTTTTGATTTTAACACTGTCGTTTTGACTGTTGCGGCATCGTTTGGCCTACTCGCGATATCGTTTTTAAATTCACGGTGTCGTTTCTTTCCTCTTGCGGCATCGTTTTCAACTAAACGACACCGTCCTAAACAGCCATAAAATATTAATTAATTAATCCGTCCATTACTAGAGCGCCACCGCAACTCCGTTTGTTTTTCCTTTTTGCGACATTGTTTGTTATTTTAAACACTGTCGTTTGCTAGTCCGCGGTACCGTTGGGCTTACTCGCGGTACCGTTTTGGATTAAACGACACCGCTGATATAACCAAAAAATATTAATCCCTGGAACCGCCGCAGTCGCCGCTCGCATTGGGCCGGGTGAATTTTGGTCACTTGCCCATCGGTACCGCTTACCAGGCTCTCGCGGTATCGTTTTTAAATCCGCGGTACCGTTTTAACTCTCTGCGGTACCGCTTGTCTCCATGCGGTACCGATTTTCCCCTTCCGACAAGGAATAAAGATAATAATTAATTAGAAAAAAACTCCTTTTCCAACAAGAAACCACACGCGCGGCCCTTTTTTATTCTTCGGTATCGTTTCCAATGCCGCGGCACCACTGAGCTTCCTTGCGGTACCGTTTTAACTCTCCGCGGTGCCGCTTCACAAGGAATAAAAATAATAATAATTAAATAATCCAAACTCCTCCTCCAACCTTTATTAAACGCGCGGCCCTTTTTTATTCTCGGCCAGCGTTGTCGTTTTCGGTGTTGCGGTACCGCTGAGCTTCCTTGCGGTACCGTTCTTCTATTTTGCGGCATCGTATTAACTCTATGCGACGCCGCTCGACTCCAAACGACCCCGTTTTTTTACCTGCGGTGTCGAATTAAATGCCGAGCCTATTTAATGCGGCATTTATTTCAGGTCAAATTAATTTTAGGTGTCAACACTACGATGATCACTTTCCCTTTCTTCTTCTTCTTCTCCTCGTCACCAGCGACCGCCTCCCGACAGCACTTCAAGATCTTCAAGCATCCCTCGTCATCCCAGTCATGAAGAATCCACTGCAACAATGCGCATGTGTCACCAAAAAAAAGAAAGTCGTGACAGAACGCGGTATAAGATCTATAATATAATTCACCACGATTCTAAACAGAAGTACTGTTGTAGACTTGTGGTGATCGGGAAGCTAATAAATGCATATATAAAAAATAGAAGCGTTTTACACTTTTTGGTGATGACCTGAAAGTATAAAACGCAAATTCTTGTAAGTTTTAAAACGCGATTTTGACTGCGTACCTTGAGGAGGACTGCATCAGCGGGTGGGATTTTCTCAAACATGCTCCCGCCAACAACATGCAAATTCTCAACATCGCCGCCACCTTTTTCCTTCACGCCCGCAACCACGTGAGGGAGATCAAACACGGTGCAATTCAACTTGGGGAAAGCCCTGGCAATGGCGACGGCCATGGTTCCCGTCCCGCCGCCGACGTCCACCAGCGACTCCACACCGTCGAACACCTCCCTGCACTCCGACACCAGCACGCCGGCCACCAGCTTGGAGTCCCCGACCATGGTCTCGTAGAACGCCTTCTTCTGCGCCGGGTCCTTCTCCATGCACTCCCAAAACGACGCGCCGTCGTGCCCCGCCTCGAACGGCACCGCGTCGGCGCTGTACAGGTACCACGCGCTCAGCATCCCCCACAACGTCATCGTCGTCGCGTCCAGAAAAAGCCTGTCGCGCAACAACGTATTAACAGAGTATGAACAGTACGAGCAGTATTATGTTATATTACGCGCGAGTATAGTGTTGTTATGTACAATTGGACATAATTTTATTTAAGGTTTGTTAGAAACAATGTAGTCAGAAGTGCTTTTCTACGTAGAAGCATTTTAGTGATTTAGAAGCGCGTAAAATCGTAAGCTTTAAAGTTCGTTTTTAACTACTATACATTAGCTATAAAAATTGAAGCGGAAGTTTTTTAAAAGTTTTAAAGCGCGATTTTGACTGTTAAGAGTTCGTCATTGTACTCTATGAACGGTGACTGAGGGCCGCCGCGGAGGAGGAGCTTGCCGGCGGTGGTGAGGGAGTAATGATCTTCGGCTTCTTCTCCGCCGGCGAGGACGGCGGTGGTGGTGAAGAAGCCGGCGTGGGTGAGGGGCCGCATGAGGCGGCGTAGGGCATCGTTTTTGGAAGGGTGGAGGGGGATGGCGGCGGCGAGGTTGGAGAGTGAGACGGGTTGTTCCGGTGACTTTGAGATGGCGTCGGGGACGCCGAGGTCGACGATGCATTTCAGGGCCATGGAGATCATGTAGTTGAAGGTGTGGTTCCATGCGCGAGCCTGAGCTTCGAGGAGCTCGTTGCCGCCGATGATGTTGCCTAACGAATGATCATGTTGTTGGCCCATTTTTACTAGGGTTTCTACTTCTGACGATGGGAGAAAAGAGAGGGGAGGAGATTGTGAAGTAGGGGGGAGTTGATGATGAAATGCTGAAAGCAGTTGGATATATATATATATACACGGCAAAGGCTAGTAGTCTATCGTTATACGCGCCTATGTTCACATCAATTATTGGTACCTCGAGAATTTCGACGCGAATCAGAATGGTTGATTTTCATTTTTAAAATTAAATGAATCTTATGGTTTGGGTTAGAGAATTGGAGACTAGTGTTCATCCATCAGAGGTTAGGGTATAATATCGTGTACCAAAATCATGGTCTAAATAACAAAACTTAATAGGAGTACGATAAGATAATCGTACGTCTGGCGCGTACAATATCTAACCTTATTGTATGTCCATCGAGTATTGTTTTTTGGATCATAAATTAGTCGGAGTTTAACGTATGATACTGTACTCTAATCTTTAGTGGGTGAACTGTAGTCCCGAATTCTCTAACTCGAACTATAAAATTCATGGGATCTGAAAAGATGACAGACGTACTGTGATCCGTCGAAAATCGAAATGTGTTAAAGTGCTTGATAATGGTGATGATAATGCTGTGATTGCAAGTTGCTTGCTAGATTGCTGTGATGGTAATAAATAGAATGGGGTCCGGCCGGCGGCCATTCTTCATCTTCCGATTGGGCCGGCTAGATAAGCATTGATGGCTGTTACTGTAGCCCATCGATTAGATAAATTAGGTTTGAGTATTTACAAAAATGTGGTTGCATGTCAGGGATAATTAAATGCAACAAATCATTGGGTTGAAGTATATATTTAAAAAATGTGGCTGCATGTTAGGGATGATAAATCTGATAAGACTGTGATCGGGACTCAGCTGGACAGATGCGTAAGATCAAGGATCTTCATCAGGGACGAAGTCAGAATTTTCGGCTGGAGGGGCCAACGAAGCTTTCGGAAGGAGCAATTCAGTCAAGGTGATAGTTTTTTTCGTATATAGCAAAGTATACATGAATCAAATTTTTGCTCTCAAACGGTTGAATCGCAAATTTTGGACGTCTTTGATTATTGAATCGGATTTAATATAAGAGTATCGAGAAATATTTGGAAAAAATTATACAATTATATCATCTTCGATTAATCTTTCTGACATCAGCGAACACCCAATTGTCAGAAACGATAAATAATTTACTTCAAAACGCGGTGAATTGGAAGCCGCCCTGCAAAACTTATACTAAAAAACTTCACACTTCACAGCCTCTCTGGGCCACAAAGTTATTATGGAATTATCTTGAGAGGGCATCTTACCCACAAGTTGGACTACCTACTACGTTTTATAAAGTTTATTTAGAAGAGGTTAATGACCATAGCCATCAATTAAACAACTCTCTTATATCGCTTTTCCAATGTTCTAAATACTAATACATGACCACGACCGTTCATTAGGAGAAAAAAAAATAGTAATCGCGACCGCCCTAATTATGGGATGAGATAGCATGTCTACCCTTAAAATTAAAAGGGTTGGAAAAAGGACACCCCTATTAATTATAGACTTTTAAGATAATTAATTTGTGTTGCATTTAATAATCTGTACTAGTAATAAGCCCGCGCTACGCGGCGGGAAATGCTGAAATTGCGCAATTTTTGTAACTTAGATGCTACCATTTGTGCATCATCGGATGCAAGACTTGCATCTTGTATTTTGCAAAACACAACAGCCGTGGGGTCTTGTTTTCGAACATAAAAATGTTCTCTCAACTAATATAAGCATATGTATATCAATCCCATGGGCCCAAAACACAACAGATCGAGGCTTTTCTTTACAAATTGACAAAATTGATTTTCTCCAACTTACAAATTTGGTTGGAACCATTGTATGGAAAATCAAACACTTGATGCACTGGGGAACTTTTTCCTTACCTATAACTTACACAGCCAACCAATATAAAACACCAAGGAACATATACTATCTGTTCTTGACAAAAGTGTTGCTGATCTATGCCAAAATCAATAGCTTTTGGTACGCTGTAGATCTTCCAAGCACACATCTTGTTGCAGCAAATCTGGAGAAAGAGATTTATTCAATAAAACTCATTGATGCACTTGCATACACCATGTTATCAGCAAGAAAAATGGTAAACTTCAATTGATGTTGTTGACTGGGTGATTCATGTGCATGTTGATATTGGCTTGGACTACTGGTGAGGCTGGTTGAGGTTGGCCACAGAAAGGACGGTGAACTCCAAAGGGGTTTGAGGTAAATAGCCGGGTTTAGGGAGTTGAATGTCAAATAAAAACCAACGTCCATTCATGGCAACAATTTCTGGAGGGCAATGGCCATGCTGTTGAGGGTTACGCGCCAACAGTTCGTTAGCAGGAACTCCAAGTAATGACTCAGCGGTTTTTCCAAGCATGATAAAGCATGCAGAACCTGTACTGTCTCCCACTGCCAAATGGATTTTGTAGCTGATAAAATGTATAAGAATTTCAGCGTTAGCTAACTGTGGAAGTTGCAATGAAGAAATAGTTTTATGTTAGACAAACCATTTCTAGGTTTCCTGACCCATCAACTGCCCATGCTCATCACACCAAAAATCAGTAGTACCTGGAAACTCTCTAGCTGTTTTGGCGCAAAATGCACATCCTAGGTAAAACCATGGTCGGGAAGACTGAGCGGAGAGGACCTCCGCGAAGCAAAGGTAATGTGTAGCCTATATATATATAAGTAAATAAAGCAGACAAGCAAAGTAAGTTAGGTAGGGAAGCACTTTGTTGGTTCAGGAAAAATGGAATTACACATACGGTTGCATTAATTGGCCAACTAAAAGCAACCAGACAAACAAATAGGTTAGGTTTTATAAATTAGCATGTTACGCTTGATCTCAGTATGCATGCATGAAATGCAGTGCTGGTAGAGTAAGGTTTGTGTAAGTAGCACGTACATTAACCATTGATGGGTTGCAAAGGTGGATCAGGTCCAGAATTGTTTTTGTACTGTCAGCTTGTAATAGGTGTTCTTCAAAAGAGGTCGAGAACCACGGAGGATAGTATTGAATTGTATCATTTCCACCAAGAAAGCTATATATTGGGTAAAATATTAGATAAAAAGAAAGTAAATTGTTGAAAAGCTTCATTGGAAGTTACTTACGCAGAGCGCAAAAGATTTGCCAAATCACAAGCTGGTTCCAGCACAAAGCGTGTGGCAGGGGTGCTAGTCAAAAATATGGTGTCTTGGAAAAACAGTGAATAAGTAAGTATTAATACATGATAATGTAGATGAGGCAAACATTAGTTTTCAGGTCGAAAACTGCGATCTAACCTGTTGTTACATGACTTAATTGAAGACTACATACGCCTAGCACAACAGAACCAGAACGGCCAAGGTATGCTAGTTCTTCCCCATCTAGAGATCGTGCAACATCACCACAGATGGTAATATTAAGACGTACATGTCTGCAAAAGTACAGCGAAACAAAGACAATGAAAAAAAGGGAATAAAAGATAACAAATGAAGGACTGGAAAAGTAGATAATTGTAATGCATCGAAAATCTCTCGTTTTGTATGACCAGCTTGCGCCTAATAATAGCATGAGCAGAGGTTACTGAGCATGACAGACCAGCTACGGACACAACATTGCCGACAACATCTACATTTGAAGAGGTTTGCAAACATAGTCAGCTCGCCAACTGTAATGGTCAAATTGAAGCGGAGCTCACGAGTTTAAAGTAGTTTGGTAGGTAAACCTATTAGCTGGTTTGCTGAGTGAGATAAGGAGTACAGGGAGTTGAAGGCAACAAACTCAAACGAATTAGCACAAAAATCAGGCGACATCATGGTTACATTGTCAAATCTGGTTTCTTGAGAAAGAACCAAATTTAATGTATGGGAGCAAGGATGACACATCGTTTGTGTTTGTTGTAGATGGAAGCTAGCAACTAAATATACACAGCCCAGTTGCAGGATTATGCCAAAATGGGCAGCTAAATTTGATGAGGCGACAACTTGAATCAATGTTCCCTGTCAAAATAGGCAGCAGTCGAAGCAACAGAGATGTCTCAGGATCATAAATGATATTAGAAAATAGGAAAACTGAAAGCAAATAGAGTGTTACCTTTGCATCAGTCCAGAGACTGCAATATGGTTTTTCTAGGTCGTCAGATACCCAAACATGTAGGAGCCGTAATTTCAGAATAGTTTCTAGGTCATCAGTTCCATTAAGATCGAGAAGTAGCTTAGGAGCAGACATCGCCTTCCTATGAGGAAATAGAGAAAGAAGGTTAAGTGAGAGGAAGAATAAGAAAGGTGGAACAGCAGTAGTGTTATTCTCCTGGTTAGCCAAACAGAAGGTTCGAAAAATAGAGGAAGCAGGTACACAAAAAAACCTGGTTGGGAGGTAGACGAAACGAAAGGAAAAGAGGAAAGAAAGGGTAAAGATCAGGCATAAGTTCTGGGCCAAAGGCCCAGATGGAAGAGTCGGGTTGTATTTTTTAGGTGTAATCTTTCCAACATCAATTTTGTATACTACAGCATTAGACATCGTTGCTGAGGGAAAATTGAAACCACAAATGAACACTATAATTATTGATAAACGGGAGGCATACAAAGCAATGCTATTTCTAAGCATTTGCAAAAAACATTAGATTAAGTCAGGTGGCAGTTGTTGCTGCGAAATAGGCAGACTAACAAAGATCTACAGAATATGTGGGTCATGTTCAGGGAACGACATGTACAGTACAGAAGATAACCTAATAGCAAGTTCTCATATTGCAAAAGCACACAAGCATAAATTGTTTGACATTCTCTGCAGAATTTGACAGCTAGCATGTGAATGGACTGGGCAAAGCATGCTGAATCACTTGTCAAAGGCTGATTCGTTCCATAGCGTGGGAATTCGGATGTGTGGCGCGGAATGTGAATTTGGCCACTTCAGATCTGGCCACGCAATGTATAGCTCCCCTGCAAATGTCCTGTTACGGTGCCTCCCGAGCAAATGGTTGATGTCCTCCTTACTCAGCGCTGTGTACTTGTTTGGTGGTACACAGAGCAATGACAGAACTGCCTCGTGTTCCAGCACGACGTCAGCTTCCTCTGAATCGTCGCGGCACTTTGCTTCCAGTTGATAGCGCAAGCTTGTATCAAAGAGTTAACGTTAGGTTTGCAGCTAATATATGTATTAGCTAGGGAACAAACGACACAGGTATTATTAAAACTTACCCCGGTATTTCTGGAGTCGATCTACAGATGGATTCTCTGTAGATTACATGCGTGAAAACAAACTTGCAGGTGTAGAGGATCTGAAATCAAACGAATTGTTTTTATTGCTGTCAGTGGGCCAAGTATAGAAATTGGTGGATGTGCACGGGGTGTAAAGAATCAGCAGGGGACTACCTTGTTGCCGCTTGTTGTAGAACCAAGGGCTGCCTTAATCTCACCAAGTGTCTTCTTTTCAGGTCTTGGTGCTCGCAGCCAACCTAGCTTCTCCCAAGTGTCCACTCTGACGTAAGGAACTGGTTTTCGCTTCCTTAGGAAACTATATTGGAGGCAAACAAATTGTGTTAGCGTTGAATCATTGGTGATACAATATTTGTTGGTCAACTAATATGCAGGTAATATTGGAAGCAATGTACATGTGCATTGTGTCCTTGAAGGCATCTGTGTATGTTCGTATAACCAGTCTACTGGCAGGCGTGGATTTAAATTCGATTGCATATTTATGGCCATTTGAAGGAGGCACTCGCATTGCTAACTTAACAGTTGTGATAAGAGGCAAGCGAGCTTCAGCAGTTGGTGCATCCTTTAAATAGTCATCTATGTCATAGCCACGGTAACGAACCACGGCCTTTGCTCCACTGTTTGTAATAAAAAATATGTTATTCTGTCAATTTTCATAAAGGAAATAATGGTTATTAATTCTCGAAAACATACCACGCATCCTCGATGACCACAAGGAACTCTTTCAAGGTTCCATCAATTGTTCTTGGGACTGTTAGGCGCCTAACGCATCCCGTGATGTCTAAATCATAAAATTGTGTTAAGGCACAAAAACATTTATTAGGATAGTGTAATGAGATAAACAAATGAAAGCGCACCTGAATGGCAGTCGTAGCTATCTGTTTGCCTTGGCGCCACTGAAAAGTCAGAGTTTATGTATGAGCGAACGGGAAACTGGGAATTCTCGGGGTCCTCGTGAACATAGGAAATTTGCTGTCTGGATGTCAGCAATAAGCGTAATTCTCTGTGAACAATCCGACCCGTTCCTCTTGCAGGGACAGCAACAACTGTATCCAGTCGATGGAGCTTGTTGACTTTGATTTTTGTGGAAATTTCCCTGATGTCCTCCTCCTCAACCATTCCCTCGAGCAATTGGTCCTGTAAGAAAGTAGCAGATCATTGAAACACCCCTTTGCCATGTGAGAAATTGTTCAGATTCTTTGTAATCTAAGTGCTAAAAGCACCATGCACAAATTTGTTATAATGAAAAATGCAAAATGGTGAGATCTTGCAAAGATGTCTGGTGTTTAATCAACAACCTTTTTGTCAAGCCAAAGCATGTGCATGGTTCTCTTCCTCCTCATGTTTCCTCTCCTGACTTGAAACCATAACCTGACAAGCCGTGCGACCACAGTATGATGGTTGCAACCCAAACGTAAACCTCGGAAGGTGTCGGAAGATGCAACAGGATCTGTAACACAGTTCAAGATTTTGTGATTTAGCAAAGCGGCCAGCCTTTTTTAGTGGGCGGTCGTATCGGAATCGATAATGTTCACAGGACCAATGACCCAAAACTGACTGCACTCACCCTGAAGATCGTTGGGGACCATGGCATTGCATCGTGCACGTTCCCGATCTTGCCGCGACGTGGCCATTTCAAGTGTGGTTTCTGATTTTCCTACGAAGAAACCGATGAGCAGTAATTTTAGGAACTGTAAGAATGGCGACGTAGAAGTAGTCGAGGACCCACCTTTGTGGCAGGAATTTCCTGCGGTCTAAGTATGGAGCTCTCGCGGCGGTTTGCGATCGAGAGCGCAGAGGTTGGTTTCTTCGGAAGCCTTGCGACAGTTCAGGGATTCGAAAGGGCAAACTGTCCGTGACGGTGTCATAAAATGAATGGACGTTGGGCTTTGTTATTTGGGCCTACACCCCACCTGTTTTACATTTGAGGCACCGATCTTTATCGCGGCTTACACGGGTAAAAATGTCTATCTTTTTTGTTTCTTTGTTGGGCTGCGTACACTGCATCCAGCGGACCAGTACCATTGCTGATAATAATTTGAGAAGTTATCAATTGGCAAAGCTTGAGAGGTTTGTTAATTCTCGTTAGGTAGTCTGCATTTTTCCTGAGATTTCCTGCTACTTAATATGCATTTTCATCTCTATTTAGATTCATGATTTTCTATCGGGCAAATTAACAAAAAGTTCTAGAAAACCGACACTTATCAATCACAGAACAAATGCTTATCAAAGCAATACTTCTAATTATGGAAATACGATCAAGACTACCAACCTAACATAACAATCTAACCTTTCTAATTAACTCCTTCATGACCTAAGCAATCTAAACAGGCTTGAATCTAGATGACTCATTTAAGCGATGCTATGATTTTCTACATGACCAGAATAGGAACACTACAGTTAGTACTGAGACAATAGGTGATATTGCAAGAGTGGTGTTGCATACTAAGGTACAAAACGATCCATTCATATCAAATACGACTCCCCACCTTTACCTCACCTTCCACTGAAGGAAATGAGAGAGACTGGTCATCGACCCAAAAGACTGGTCACATAGACTAAGAATTGTTCTCAAGGACAAACCTCATAGGACAATAACCACACGAACACAAAGACGCTAAAAATCGGCGGCACTTGAGCCAAAAACAATTCCAATAGCTGAACGAAAAAACACCCACAGACATACAAATTACCTATTTTTTTAGCCTGACACTTGTCTCTAGAATGCCTTCACAAAGTACACATTTTACAATTATGGAGGGCCTGAATCACACTTTCAATCAGTGGCACACCAAGAAAACCGGTTAGCTGTAAGGGAAAACAAATGGTGAATAGCAGTTTGAAGGCTTGGTGGTATTGATTTGATCATTCTGCAGCCAACAGCTATACAATAAAAATTTGGTGTCATATAATATATAAAAAATAAAATATAAAATAATAAAATATATAATAATAATAATCCTATGAAAGGCCACAGCAAGAGACAAAATTTTCTCGTCGGCGCATCAATTGGAAAAAAGACACTATCACCCAGATGGACAGACGAATAACATCATCTCCTAACCCACAAACGAACACCATGCTCAACATTAAGAGCAGTGAAACCACACAAACAACACAAAGGAAGAACATCATAACCCGAAACTCGAATGCAACCTACTGCAACCGCAATGGGCCAAAGACAATACAAAAAAGCGGATGGCAAGATGAAAAATCCATCACCATGGGATAATCCAGTGCACACATGTGTTCATCCCTTGTTCCAAACACCCAACCACCTTCGTTGTAGTCTAAGAATACATCTGGAAAAATGACAGAGTTGAAGTCAAATTACGGTCGGCAATAGCAAAGAAAAAATGAGATTCATGAAGGCAAGGCAAACTCAAGCATCAAAGAAACAATTACCAAATGCAAAACGGCAACACATTGATCTGCATCTTCCTGCAGCCCTCTCTGTACCCTTAAAATCCATTGACCAACCAAGGGATCCACTCATCTTGACCAACCAAAGGTCTCACTCATCTTAGAACCAATTACTTCTTGCTCCAGCAAAGGCGACCCTAATGGCTTAATTGACCGCCCAACAATGAGAAGATTGCATAACAAACACCGCCGAAAAAGGAAAACAGAGAAGAACCAGCGTAAGATATAGAGGTGCTCAACAGCGACGGATGAGAGATAGCGAGAAATCTCACCCGGAATCCATTTTCGGATTGCCCTTCAAATCCAAGCAATCCACCCCCGGTCAACGAAATCTTTGTCAAGAACTGGTCACCTGCATTTCTTTGGAAAAGAGAAGAAAAAGAATTACAAACTGAAAAAAGCTAAGCACCACAGGAAAAAGATAAAGCAAAACCATCAAAACATCACCTCTCAGCGGCATGGTTTGCAAATCTGGTTTCCCTTTGTCGTGGACTTCGTCTCCCCGGGTCGTGGGTACTGTCCAAACCCGATCAACAAAGGAATAGGTGCAGCAGATCTGGCGATTCTAGGCCTTCTCCGCGTTCTCTCCACGTCACACATGGATTCTCGGCCATTCCTAGGTGACCGATTGCAACGACCGCTTGCAAGATCTCACCCCCTTCTTGCTCCAACCAATCTTTTGAAGGTGAGAAGAAAAAGAAAGAAACCAATTAATGATGAGATAAATAATTTCTCTCTCAGCAAGAGAAAGTGCATTAAGATTTAAAGTGATGAAAGAGTAACATAAATCTCAATCAGGAAAACCCAGAAAACATACTCTGGGGATCTGAGTATCTTCCAATTCCTCTCCGACCCTCTCAAATTTGCCAGTTGATTGCTCCAAGCTCTGCTGGTTTTGAAAATGAGAAGAGAGCCAAAAGTAGAGAGAAAACAAAAGATGATCAATATATATAAACAAAATTTTGAGAGACAGAGGAACAATCACATGAAATCAGTATAGAACCTGTGGTTCTGGGTGTTCTTCGAATCCTCCCTCCCTCTTCCAAATAGCTCCAAATCCACTCCAGGACACTCAAATCCCAACAATCAAATCACAAACGAAATCAGGGAACTCCGATCGATCCACTGAAACAAACGAAATACAAAGCATCCATAGAAAGACGATGAACAAACCTGAAAAAAGAGGATCAAAGAAACCCCATTTTTCTAGATAGAAAGAGAGAGAATGAACCCAGTCAAGAAAAGGAAGAGAAAACGAATGCAAAGAAAGAGGAAGATATATTTCAAGAGAAGAGTGGTCCTCTGACCTCGATGAGTGAGAATACAGCACCACGGGTAGATTAGGCTAACCACACATATTTTTTCTGCCAACCGTCAACCTCATTTGTTCTGGCTCCCTGACCAAGCTCCTATCCCCTCATATTTTTTTCCCTTTCTCTGCTTCCTGATTAGTCCCCTCAATTACCTCTCCAGTTTCAGAAAGTACGCCCAGTCTACATCAGCAAGACATACCTCTCTTCTCCCATACCTCCCTCCTCTCTCAGCCTCCGAAACCGGCACGACTCCCACCTCTCAAGCGGGCCACACCTCAAATACTCTGACCTTGCCCTAAGCCACTTGCAGAGCCACTGCAATAAACCCTTCCAGTCCCCCTATGGCCCACCATCTCTGAGTCTCCCACCCACGGACACGTCGATCGCCTGCAGAGGCCCCGACACAGCTGCCAAGGAAAATAGGCCGGCCGCCTTAAATCAATCCAATCAAGCAACTGGGCAGGCTCCAGCCACCGAGAGGGCCCTGGTGACCAACGCATCCGTGGACCACAACCGATCCAGCATACCAAAACAGCCCAACGACCAAGTTCCATCCCAACCGACCCGCCAAACACCCGTCCGATCCAAAGAGCCCCACCCAACGCCAGCCCACACAGCGCCAGCTTCCGGGTTATAACAGTACATCCCGGTCAGCATGAGCAGTAAAAGCAGTCTGCGTGTGCAGTACCAGGTCCTGCGGTGGGATTTATTTCTTTCAATGAATTAAAAACATATATTAATTACTTTCCTTTTTTTTCAATACACTAGTAGTTGTATAAGTGCAATGGTATTAGTGTACAGGTTCAATGATAGGGTTTTTTTTTTTTTTTTCATATAAGGAGGCACAAGACCAAAGAAGGAAGAAACAAACAGGGAGAGAGAGGTTACGAAGGAGTAGAGGAGGAAGAAGCTATAATACTTCTAGTACTAGTGAGGCCTCTATGATCATCCTGCAAGATAGGGAGAAGCTCATTCGGGGGTGTTTCTAGCTCATACATACTGTAGGGGTAGACGAGACTGTGCTTCGAGAGCCAATTCGCGACTCTATTCTCTTCTCTGTATATATGAACTAAATTCACCACCCAATCTTGAGCAATCTTCCGCCTAATAGCTGTAAGGAGAGCAGCACAAGGGCGAAGAGGGTCAGTCCTGTGGTTTACCAGTTGAATGGCCAATTGAGAATTAGTCTCTACAATGAGGGCTCTACATCCGTTGTTCCACGCCATTCGGAGACCATGGTAGATAGCCCACAACTCTGCCATGGTTGCTGCACACGAACCCAGGCTGGAGACGAAGCCTCCTATCCAAGTGCTGTTGTCATCTCGCAACACTCCTCCCGCCCCGGCGATTCCCAGATTCTGATTAGCAGCCCCATCAACGTTCAATTTCCGCCAGCCGGACGGTGGCGCCTTCCACCCAATTTCAGCGTTAATTCGTGTAGCTTGCGACAAGGAAGGGGCCGACAAGGATTTGCTAATCCCATTAAAAGTGCCCTCATTCCTGTTCTTCCAAATGCACCATAGTGCCACACTAAGGAATACCTGCCAGGGGAGGTCCGCCACCGAAGCTTCTTCATTCATAATGTTCCTCTTCAGCCAGACATCCCATTGGCAGCTAAAAAACTCGTTCTGTGAGTCCGTCCGGGTCGAGCGAGTCCACAGATCAGCTGCCGGAGGGCAGTCCCTGAAGATGTGCAGAAGAGATTCCGCTTGGGAGGGACATCGATAACAGGAGTCATCCTGCGTTAAATGGTGTTTCCTCCTCTGTTCATTCGAACTAATTCTCCCTTGCGCTAGTAGCCAAATGAAGCACCGAATCCTCTCCGGAACCTGAAGTTGCCAAATCGCCTTCCACCATCGTTGCTCACTGCTGGACCCTGGAGGTTGCTACATTTGAAAGGCGCTCTTGGTCGAGAACCGTCCATCAGAGGTCAAACTCCAAAAGATAGTGTCTTCCTCTGTCGCCAAGGGGTCTACCGCGTGGGTCGTGATCTGGCGTTGAATCTCCTGAGGAAGCAAGGTATTGAACTTGTCGATTTTCCAGCTCCCCTCTTCGTCAATGAAATCTGCCACCAGTGAGTGTTGATCCTCACCAGGGATGCGATCTGTGGCCAAGTCCAAGGTGCAATGGTAGATGTGTCAGTGCAATGGTAGTTCCAAAAAATGAACGTAATTAATATGAGTTCAGTATACAGGTGCAATAGTAGTTGTATCAGTGCAATGGTAGTTAAAAAAAGAATGTAATTAAAATGAGGTTTTAATTTCCAAAAATTATTAAATACACTACGAATTTAATACAAAAAATAACTATAATTAATAAGGGTGTCATTTTCCTAGGGTGAGCATGCTCACCGATCCCCTACTTATAGATAAGTTTTGGTTGAGGTGACGGTTTTGTCATAGTGGTTCGAAGAAAACATTAGTTTTCAAGGTGGGCGGTCCTTTTGGACTGAATACTTGCTGGATCTAAAATATAATGTCCAATTAAATATTATTTTTGTTAGTGATTAACCACTAAGCAAATTTAACCTACTAATAACTAGTCACTAAGCTCTTATGAGTTATCAATTAAACCAATATACTTATTTATTCGATCGACTTATTACTACTTATATTTTGATCACATAAATACTACTTGTGTTTTGATCATATGACAATTATTCGATCGATAGCAATACTACTGAAACACTTGATCCTGATATGATAAATTTCCAATATACTTAGTTAATTCCTTCTTTATCGTATAAATTGTATAGATGGTATGTGTCATAATTTTATCTATTGATGATTTCTTAGCACTATACGCAAGAGTGCATATTTTACCGTGTGCTTAATCTATACATTGATATTCATGAATAACAACCTTATAACAAAAAAACTATGTATTTTATTTTCTACAAGGTAAACTACTCTCTTAAATACAAGGATTGTAAACCATTTTCGGTTTTCAGTTCAACCCTTTTTTTTTGTCAATCGATTCCTCAAAACCGAGAAAGGAAACAAGATACATAGTCTGCAGCGGATCCATCAAGAATCCTAATTACAGCGTAGCCAAGAAACAAATTCAAACTATTTTTCTCCCTAAAAAAAAAAGAAACAAATTCAAACTATTTTTGGTTTTCGATTAAAACTCAATTATTAAATGTTAAATATTTTCATTTGCCTTTTCGATCGAGCCCAAAAAAGAAAAATGGGCCTCTCAATAGGCTAAACTTGGTGGGGATAATAGCTAGGGGGTTGAATAAATGTACACATAGATTATGGGACATCACTGACTAGTGGGCTTGGCTCGGTATGGGAAATGGACCAAACTGATTGTGGGAATGGAGTTGCAAAATGTAGGAAGGATGAAGCCCATAATCGGAAAAGCATGGCTTTGTTTTGATTATTCAGCTCAATTTGTTTTAATCGGATCTACTTAATTATTCATTTGTCTTTTGAATATTGAATCTAGGTTAAAATAAAATAAAATAAAAAATAAATTTGAAATTCAACACCAAACCAATTATTTATCTACCATATTCGAGTTCGTAAGATTGTTTCGTTTGCTCAACCATAACAGGATACATACGCATAGAACATGAAACATGATAGGTTTTGACATTTGAGAACGGTTGTGAGTATATAACTCGCAGTGTACATCTGATCCCGCGACCGGAGATCTAATCGTTTCAGTCACAACTACAAGATGTACCCTTGACAATGTTAACAGAAAATGATGAAGACTCAAAATCGCTATTAAAATATGACCGTGTCGTGGTTCGTGAGATTCTAATAAAGGAAAATCTAGATAGAAAACCTTGGCAAAAACAAGTCATGTACTAATGTACATGAAGAGTAAGCCAATTATGACTTTGGAATTTGGATTGAGGAATGTGGTGCGGGGAAGAAGAGAAAAGGGAAGACATTGATTTCTATTCCTTCCATTCCCATTCCCCTTCTCATCTTGCTTTGCTGCCCCTCTAAGCCAAGCAAACTTTAACCCAATAGGCAAACAGAAGAACTTTTTGTTATCTTAACAAAGTTTTCATCTTTTAACCCTTTTACAATCAATAGAAAGATTACCATATAAGATGCACACTTTTTTTATTTTATTTTTTATAAAAGATAATCATATATAAGATCAAAATGATAGTTACATCCTGGAGATCAGCCAGGCCTGATAATCAAAATAACGGTTTATAGCCGGGTACAGAGAGAGAGCCTTACGAGCCACTATGTGGGCTACCCTATTGGCACGCCGACCTATAAACCGAACAGTAAACCCTTGATTGCAGGAAAAATAATGCAGCACCTCCTTCAGTATGGCTCCAATCCTGTCGTCTCTAGTATCCACCAGTTGGAGTTTATCAATGACAATCTTGGCGTCCCCCTCGAATCGTACACTAGAGAAACCATGTCCTATGCACCAAAGAATCGCTTCACGCAAGACCAGCAATTCCACTACCAGAGGGTCATCAATGACGGGAATCTGCATCCCAGTGGCCATCAGGAGGTCTCGGTCCGGGGTCATTAGCACCACTCCTCCTGCTGAATGCGACCCCCTCCGAGTAGCCCCATCCCAACCACAGATAACCCCAGGCACTTCGTCCTCGTTCGAATGGTGGGCCGCCGCAGCAGCCGGACCGCGACAGGCTATCGACCGGGAGGCGCACCCATTCCTCGTATTGCTGCGTGAACTGGCGCATCAATGCATCCACTCTATACTGTTTGCCTTCAAAGACCACCCAATTGCGAGATCGCCAGATACGCCAGAGGACGGCAACAATGGCCATGAACAGAGCAGGGCACTGGATGAGAGCCATGACCTTCTTGAGAAACAAAGGAAAAGAGTGGTGCGGCAATCCCTCCCCGACATGCTCTAGGCCCGCTGCACCCTAAAGTGGTCGGGCTACCTGGCAATCCAAAAACAGGTGCTCCACAGTCTCCTTGTCTTCCCAACAAACCGGGCAGCGAGGATGGACCAAGATCTTTCTTTCTAGCAAGGCCTCTGTTGTAGGGAGGATTCGATGAAAGATCTGCCAGACAAACACCTTTAATTTCGGCGGGATGTTAGCCTCCCAAAGGCTAGCACACTTCATATGATCTTTATATGTAAACATTTCTAGTCTATAAATTGATCATCACTTAAAAAGGGTGTATAAAAGAATTACCCAATATCAATCTATCATCTCTATAGAGTGACCACTATGGCTGAATTTGCACTGCAAGTTACCCCAAAGGGCACTAATTAACAGGTTGATAATGAACCATGATTGACCCACCTAAATCATACTTACAAACTCAAGTTGACCATACTTAATCAAAACACTGAGCAACATAACTCTGACTATAATAACCGTCGATAAAAGGGAATGATCGATGTTCGTTACTACGATCCACGGGAACCATATGCATTTCTTTGATGCATTTTGCAAAAAAACGATGATGTTATTTGCCCTTTGGAACAGAGAATTGAAAACAGGGGAGGAGAGCTATCAATTCTAGAGTCAAGTGTGGCATAATATGTCATAATAGTCACATTTATGAATTTATTCCTCTCATTTTCAGTCATTACTTCTCCTTTCTTTCATTTTGAGAGAAAAAGAAAGGTATGAGGCAGAGATTTGTAAAGTAGTTCACATTTCCAAAGAAAAATACAAATTTTCCCGTAAGAAAAAAGTTTGAACCACTTTCCACTAATATGATTAGGAAGAGTTTATGTTCACAACCAAACAACCTAAAACTCAAACCAAACGTACAAAAAGATGGAGGATCCATAGGAGTTTTGAGTTTTTTGTAATTTGAGATAAGAGGATCCAATCAGAAAACCAGTTTGTTGTGAAAAAAAAAAAAAAGATAACAAAGCATGTGGATTTGAGAGTCTTGTTCATAAAATGTGTCCAAGTGTGGCATTCCCGATCAATCATCAGAGAAAATCGATTGGACAATGCATTGTGGATGACGAGTCGATGCAACTTTGGAAGAGCAAAAGGAAATGACTCCACTCCCGCTATAGCCATTTGATCAACGAAGAACGAGCTTATAATTTTTTGGATGTGAAACCAACCAATCCATGAATCATCCCCACTCCAACATCTAATCGATTATTTATTTCTTCAAAATCAACCGAAACACAATTCACGAGTCCAAAGAACTCCAGTAACAAACGAATATCCGAACATCGAAACGCAAAAAAAAAAAAAATTAAAAAATCCAGGTAATAAAACACATCCAATCATCAATTTTATAGTCCCTTGTTTTATACTTACTTCCCCCCTATAAATTGCCACTACATAAAAAAACCCCTTACCCCAAAACTCAAGAAAACTACTACTCCCATCTTCTTCTCCATCCTTCCACCACAACAATGGCACCACATTCTGCAACCTCCATCCTCACCTTCCTCTTCATCCTCACCATCTTCTCATCACCATCACCAACCTTCATCACCACAGCCAGAGCACAAGCCAGGCCGCCCCACGGCCTCGTCTACTCGGGCCCCGTCGCCTTCTCCCCATCCGCAGTCCAGTTCTTCCACCCAGACAACCAACTCCCTCACCCTGAGGCTGCTCAGGTCACCACCGCCGCCGCCGCGAAATCCAGCTCCACCACCACCATTCCCTCGAGGTCCGGCGGGAGGAGTGGATTGGGTGCAGGGGAGATTGCAGGGGTTGTGTTTGGTGCTGCATTTGCTGTGTTCATCGCCATGGGTGCTTACTATGTGGTGAGCAAACGTAGGGCCAATTTGGGCAAGGCCAGCAACAACTCTGTTCAGTCACATGTTTAAGTGGGGATTAGTCAAAGACCAATGGTGTAATCAATTCAATTAGTGTTTTTTTGTTGTTATTAGGGGAGTGGGATTAGACTTTGGTGACCACAATGTTGTAATCATGATCTTACCTACTGTTTTTGTAATTGTGTTGATGTGATTTTCATGTTCTGTTGCTTGGATTAAAGTTTTAATTGTTTGGAGATTAGTGTATGGTTTTTTGATCTATGGCTGTGGATTGGAATCTCTTGTGCAAATTGTCAATGTGAAATGTCAATTCCTCGGGGAGGACTTGAAGGCACAAAACACGGTCACCCTTAAACCCTTGTTTAATTGGCAACACCATTACCCCCTTAATTTAACTCTTAACTCAAGGCATCTTGTTTAATTTACATTTTACAACGAGAACCAGAGAACGATTTCTATAATCCGTTGGAAGTAACAAAGAAGAAATGGGAAACCATAGTTATAAAAGGCCATTCGATTACATTTCAGCGTGCTTCCGTTCCTTATTTTGACGACGAATCACAAACCACAAGCCAAGCAAAATCGGGAATCTGAAAAATGACGGACTGACGATTCGTTTTAGTTCAATCCAATTCAATGTTAATTAATTCAACAAAACTGTCGTCTTCTTGGACCTTCTGGTAGAAAATACGACACACAAAAGAGCACCTTAACGTATATTCATAACTAAATTCAATTAGACCATCCCAAAAAAGATGATAGTTTGTCTAATATCTATGGCCGAAATCGTTACGGTTAATCGAGTGAAAACCGAATACACACCCTTGTGCAATGTGCATAAGGGAAAACTGCAGCGTGATTGCTTCCACTGTAAACATGAGTGATTATCTAACCCCACACCATGTAAAACACCAGCTTCAAATTTCCCGTTGCACTTGCATGAAGAAATAGCCAAAGAAACGTGGAGCAGAGGAAGTCAGGGGTGTTTCTAAACTTTGGAATATAGCTTCGTCGGCCTCGGCTCCAAATCTTTTTTAGCTTCACGACAGAGCCAGCCCTTCTTCCTATCTTCTTCCACCAACGGTTATGGGCTGTACTGTCTGTAACATACTACCCAAAAACAGCATTGTCCCTCATTTTCTGCAACTTTCCTTTTCGAATCACGGGATTTACAGTGACGCACACATCAACATCACCAATTTCTGCCCCCATATACAGTGTAACAAGCAAGCAAGTTAAAGTCTTTTGAGTGGTACAGAATCCACACTCAAAAGAAAACAGGAGGGTTTTCAGAAGACAATTGCAGGCTTGTTATCATAAGAGCTTGGAAAATAATGTATAGGATACAAGAACACAAACTTGCTCAATAATTTCATTCACGGTGCGAACTAAGGGCGGTAACGAGCGGCCTGAACGCCTGGTCCACGGCTTTGTTCCACAGGAGAGCAGACTCGGAACGAAATCGCTTCCCCAGGATAGGCTCTTTCAACTGCAGCAAGAGCCAAAGTCATCAGAGAAAAAAATGTTCAATCTTTCGTGTTTGGCATATGGAGAATATAAGCGTGTGTATTGCACTTATCGTGGTAATGGATCGAATACTATAAGATGGTTGCATATTGATGATGCTAGAGGTAACTCCAGGGCCAAAAGAGACTCAATCAATCGGCCAAAGAAAGTAACAGAACAGCTCATCATCCTATCTCTCACATTTGTTGATGGCACTCTCACAATGGTTTTGGTTCCAAAGGTTGAACAGTTTCATTTCATCTCCCTACTCCGGGATATAAAAGAAGTGGCAAGGCAACTCCATCACATTGATTCTGCTATCTCTTCGATCACTCTTATTCTCACATGCTAGTTCCCCTTAACATCCTTAGACATGCTTAGAATGCAATCTTTCGTCACTGCAAGAACCACGAAATCGCTCCAATGAGGTCTTAGATTCAAGGGATTCGAACACTCAACAGCTACATTTACCAAATTGCAAGAACATTTTCTAGCTGTTCTTACTGTATACAAATGGAGCAGCCATACACAAGGAAGTAGGAACCAATAGAAACCCCTCCTCATACAAGGGCAACACCTAGAGAAAGACATCATCCCTCAACTGCATTCACATCCAGCTAGCAGCAATGAATCAAGGAATTCGATTCAACCAAAACGGAGATCACATTGGACTCTAGGGTTCTAGGCAGGACAAATGAGAATTACTTGCGGCCACAAAATCAAAGGTAAAAGTTGGAAAAAGTTACCAACTTTACCTGTTTTTCGGCATCGGATGGAGATTGGTAGGCCGAAATTGAGTCGTGGATTCGCCTCCGCTGATCAAACACCACGAAACCGGTGAAAGCACCGCCCAACGCGAACCCGAGCAGGCGCTCCTGCGGTAACAAAAAAAAGTAGAAAATGTCCTCAGCAGCGAATCGAGGCATCAAGAGGGTAACTTGGCGGAGAAAAGTTGCCGGAGAACTGGTGCTCACCTGAGCGAGAATGCTGAGCATCGTTTCGTTTCCGACGGCGAGATCCCGGCGCGCCGTTGATGGATGGTCTCTCAGGGGAAGTGGGGAAACGAAGAAGGAAACGTCGCGTTTCGGTTACTTTCTCCGGTCCGTAACAAATTGACAAATCTCAAGGGGCCTTTTCGTAAATAATTTTTTTTGTCATTATTTGCTATTTATCTACTGGACCCTCCACAGATCCATATTTGTTCGGGCAGGGCTGTTGGGCTGAGAGAGAAAATATCCACCAGCGACTTTTTCGACTCTCTTGCCTATTAGGGTTTCGGAGTGCTCTCTGGTTTCCCACTGTCTCTCGATCGCCGCTCTCAACAGGTGAGCCGCTGCGTTGAATCTCTCTGATCTATTCCGTCTCTGTACTGTGTGCGTCTTCCTTCTTCTCGCCGCTCTAAGTTTTTTTGTTTTGTTTACGAGGGAGAAAACGAATCGAGTTTCACGCTTTCATTTGAGGTGCTTGGGCTAGAAATTGTTTCTCTTTGATATGATATGGGTTTGTATTGTTCTGGGTTAGTCGGATCTGATGATTTCCAGTCCCGATCTGATGTTGTAGGATCTCAATTTGAAATGGGTAGCGATTTAATTGTATAAATGACAGTTCTTTGCCTCGTGTTGAATGTGTTCAGACAAAAGATGAGGCCTATCTTCTGTGGTAACTTTGAGTATGATGCTCGCCAGTCGGAGCTGGAACGGCTTTTCAAGCGATATGGGAGGGTTGAAAGAATCGACATGAAGTCTGGTAAGTATCTTGTCTGGCTCATACTTTTTTATGTTGCATTTGGGGAAACTAAACTGCTAGCTTTGATCATTACTCAAGTTTAGCTTCTTCTGGGATCAATCTGGTAGGGACCTTTGTGCTTTAACTCATACTGTTTTGCTCTCGTCCAAGACTATCCTTTTTTACTTCATAGATGCGCTTGTGAAACACTGAAAACATTCGGTTTGCACAATCTGGGACACCGCTCCCTACATTCCTCATTAATTCAAACAATCGCATTGGAATAGCCTCTCAGATGCCACGCCTTTGGTTACATCTGGATAGCAGAACAACAACTTTGTTATGCCGTCCAGAATCGTCTTCCAGTGTTTTCCTCCTGAAACCAGTGCATCGTATTTTGGCGAAGTTGGTATGGTAGGTTAGGAAGCTCTATTTTTCTTTCTTGTTATCATGATAAGACAGTCAATTGATGTGCTTGCTTTGAAGAAAGCAAACATTTGAATTGGACCATGGTGTGCTCCTCTTATATGAATTTGATCCTGAAAGCCGCCATCGACGCCGATCTGTGATGTCCAACAATCCCTCTACCGATCAGCGCACAACTCAGTCTGCCTCCCCATGCCTGTGCATCTCTCTGGAGGCATATCAGCAAGATGGTCCAACATTCATTTCGTCTACGAATCAGAAGCAGCATTCTTCCGTTGTTGAGTTACAGTGGGGGTTCAGGATATGTTAAAAAAAGAATGTTTATTGAAGCATAAACCCCCATACTCAACATTTTGTTTGACGCAGGACATTCTTGGCAAATTCGTACTCTTTCCGGCTAAAGGATGGGCACCCAGTCCGTTTCCTGACAACAACGAGCCTCCTTTTCTTGTTTCCACCAAGAAGAGTCTTCTCTTTTCCGCAAAGGCAGAACTATACCGAATTTCCTCAGACATAATTGCATTGCATTCCTCATGAACTTTGCCCCGCATTCAATTTCACGACATGTTTCCGCATAGAAACATTGCCCAACCTCACAGCAGAGGCAGCAGAAATTCTTGCAGAGGCATTCTAATTTCCATTGACCCAACCATGAGACAACCACTTTTGGATTGTAGTCCCCTTGGCATCTCTTAGTTCATCACAGAAGGTCTGTTGCTACTTTTTCTGGTCAGTTTGTTTGTAGATTTGAGGAGGGCTGCCAATTTCTTTTTTAAAGGTTTGGATAAAGTGGTTGTGTTCCACCAATTGTAAGTAGAGTTTTCTACTTCAAGGATTGATTGATGGGAGGATCCGATCCAATTTTGTATTCATTTATTGATATGATTATGTTTATGGTACTTATGTTTTTTTGTTTGTTTTTGTTTTGTATCTTCAAGCAGGATTTGCATTCATCTATATGGAAGATGAAAGAGACGCTGAGGATGCAATCCGTGGACTTGACCGCATAGAGTTTGGTCGTAAGGGTCGTAGGCTTCGTGTTGAATGGACTAAGGTAAGTTTTTGTTGGATGGAAAATATTATATTATATCCCTGAAGTTCTTTTATCATATGAATACCAATTGTCACTGATAACAACATTTTCCTTTTCAGCAAGAACGTGGTGCGAGGAGGCTTGATAGTGGTGGCGGTGGCGGCTCAAGGAGAGCTTCTAACACAAGGCCTTCTAAAACCTTGTTTGTTATAAACTTTGATTCGCAGCTTACAAGGACAAGAGATTTGGAGAGACACTTTGAGCCATATGGAAAGATAGCGAGTGTGAGGATTAGGAGAAATTTTGCTTTTGTTCAGTATGAAGCACAAGAAGATGCCAGCAAAGCCTTGGAAGCTACAAACATGAGGTTGGTTGATTGCTTCTCATGAGCTGTTTGGAAGATATGTTGTTGTCACTGACATGGAACAACTCTGTTCTGTCTTTTTATTCTGCAGCAAGTTGATGGACAGAGTTATTTCAGTGGAATATGCAGTTCGAGATGATGATGAGAAGAAAGATGGTGGCGGCTATAGTCCAGAGAGAACTCGCGATAGGTCCCCAAGGAGGAGGTCAGTGAGTCCTTACAGAAGAGAGAGAGGAAGCCCTGATTATGGCCGTGGCCCTAGTCCCTACAGGAGAGAGAGGGGAAGTCCTGACTATGGTGGTCGCGGCCGCCGCAGTCCTAGCCCTTACAAGAAGGAAAAATCTAGTCCGGAGCATGGGCGACGCCGTAGCCCTAGTCCTTATAAGAAAGGCAGATCAAGTCCTGAATATGCTCGGGAATCAGCCCGTAGCCCTTACAAAAGGGAGAGGGCGGGTAGTGACCAGGGTCGTGGTGGAGGCAGTCGCAGTCCTGCTTACCGTAGGGAGAGGGGTAAAACCGACAATGGCCGTGGACGCAGCCCTAGCCCTTATGAAAGAGACGCGGCTGCTGAAGCTGACAATGGTAATGGGATGGACAGCAGTCCATATGAAAGGGAGAAAGGTGAGGTGAAGAATGGACGTGGTTCGAGCTATGAAAGGGATGGTGGGAGTCCTAGCAATGGTCGCAGGGCTAGCCCAGCTGAAGAAAGGGACAGCCCGAATGATGGAAGGGCTGATAGCCCCCCCATGCGTGATAGATTCAAGAGGTAATGTCTGGTCTGGAACATGTTATTATCTGTGATCATCTATGTATGTTTGGATTAACACTGAAGTGTTTGTCATTGTGATATGCAGCCGATCTCCACCAGCAGATGAATGATATAAGGAAGGAGCTTAAAGCAAAATGTCGGGCCCTGTGTGGCAGATGTAGTTTGTTGTTAGGGATGTAGTTGCAGGAGAAAGGTGCACCGGACAATTTGTGATGTAGGCTGTGTTTGTATCCGTTTAAAACTATGTGCTTCGGAATTCGGTTATGTTGTGCTAAAACTGAGATCGATTTTCTTTTGAGGGGATATCTGCAGACTTAATGCTTCTTGTCAGTCGTTCTATTGTAGCAATTATGTGATGCAGTTTGCCAGGTTTCCAAGAGCTGTAGTCTTTGACTCCTGCTGTTCATTTCAGACCCTTGATAATGGCATGTTAACCCTGGTGTGCTTGGGATATGTGAAATTAACCAGTGAATTCATGGTTACATGCAGCTGGGCTTTCATTCTTGTTTCATTGGCTTGGTACCACATACTTTTTCCTTGCAATCCACCTCCAAAATATTACCCAATAAGATCATTCACTCATAAACAAACTACTGGCTAGTTCTTAACCATGCCCGACTCATTAAGCGTATTGTTACACATGATTTCTTAGGGTTTCGACGACAGCCATTACGAATTGAAGATAAGGCACACAATGAGAAAGCTTAGGACGACAGACAGCGGTTCAACTTCAAACAAGATTGTTATCTTCTTCATTGCTGTTACAGCATCCACTGACACAGCTAGTTGATGGTTTTGAGGTGTTCTCTCCTGTGTGCCTCGGACAAATATTGCCGGTGCCATTTTCAACTTGGTTTGTTCTGTATTCCAACTACGTTCGGCATTTCCGGTGAGACAAGTTAGAAGGTTGTCCTCATATGACAGGCATTTCACGGCGAGACATAACTGAGGGTTGTCCATATGTTGTTTTTATCTTTCTTCTACCAACGGTTGTGGGCTGTAACATACTTCTGAAAAACAACAATGTCCCCCTTATTTTCTGCAGCTTTCCTTTCCATTCAATGGATTTCCAGGGAGGCACACATCAACATCACCAATTGCACCTCATATTCAGTGTAACAAGCAAGCAAGTTAGTCTTGAGTGGTACATGATACAATCAGAGAAAAAAGGGAGGGTTTTCATAAGAATTGCAAGCATGTTCTTCAGCGTATCATAATTCATAAGAATTGGCAAAATAATGGGTCGAATACAAGATCACAAACATGTTCAATGATTTCATTCTCTGTGCGAACTAAGGGCGGAAACGAGCAGCCCGAACGCCTGATCCACGGCTTTGTTCCATAAGAGAGCAGACTCCGAGCGGAATTGCTTCCCCAATATCGGCTCTTTCAACTGCAACACGAGCCAAAGCCATCAGAAAAAAAAACTCGGTCTTAGTATTATACATGTGTGTATTGCAGTTATCACTGGGTGATGGACTGAATACTGAGCAGGTACGGAAGAGTTGCATATCGATGATGCTACAGAGGTAGTCCAAGTGCAAAATCGACTAAGATCAATCAATCATCCAAAGAAAGCATAAAGAGTTCATTATCCTTCTCCTATCTGTCTCTGCTCAACAATGGTTTTGGTTTCAAAGGATGAACATTTTCGTTTCATGTCCCTACCCGCCGGGATATAAAAGAAGTTGGGATGGATCATACCAAACCACCATTTTGATTCTGCTACCTCTTCAACCACCCTTTACTCTCGCATTGCTAGTAGTTCATCTTAATATGCTTTTTAGACATGCTATAATGCCACCATTCCATCACCAGAACCACGAAATCGCTCTAACAAGTTCTTCCATTCAAAGGACTTCCAACACTTACAAGCTACTACATTCACTAAATTGCAACATAGCTGTGCCATTTCCAAATACAAATGAATAAGCTAAAACGGAATCCCACTCAATTTTCTCGCCGCAATGAATCAAGGAAGTCGATTCAAACTAAAACGGATGGATTCTAGGGTTATGGACTAGACAAATGGTAATTACTTACGGCAACAAATCAACAGTGAAAATTGGGGAAAAAGGAACGAACTTTACCTGTTTTTGGGCATCGGACGGAGATTGGTAGGCCGAAATTGAGTCGTGGATTCGCCTCCGCTGCTCAAACACTACGAAACCGGTGAAAGCGCCGCCCAACGCGAACCCGAGCAGGCGCTCCTGCGGTAACAAAAAAAGTAGAAGAATTGATCAGCAGCGAATCGAGGCATCAAGAGGGTTCATCGGCGGAGAAGACTTGCCGGAGAATTGGTGCTCACCTGAGCGAGAATGCTGAGCATCGTTTCGTCTACGACGGCGAGATTCCGGCGAGTGGTTGATGGATGGTCTCTCGGGGAAGGCGGGGAAAGGAAATCGGGGGAAGGAAGAAGAAAACACTTCGGTTACTTTCTCCGGTCTGTAACAAATTGACAAATCTCAGGTTGGCGCGCGGCCCGTTGGGTTTTCCACCCGTTGTGGGCCTGTGTAAGCCCATGTTCGACGGGCTTTACCCATTTGTTTGGTCCAGATTAATATTAGAATTTTAAGTTAGATCCTCTATGAGGATTAAAATCTAGATTCAAAGGGAAAAGAGGGAATGGAATTTTGATTAGTAAGAAGATGTTCTACCTTAATTAAAATGTTCTTCTTTTGTGACTTGAGATTTATGATCTGTTCTTAACACAAAATTCATAGCTACTCAAAGACAAATCGAAAACTAATTCCAGAGTGACCCTAAATACCTATTTGTAAATTCACAAAAAACAATTAAATACAAGAAGTACGATAATAACCACTATTATTCTTGTCAAAAACTACTTAAAAAAACACAATTCAACAATTCATAATAATATTATGATACCAGTTTACATATTAACATCTTGAATTAGTTTAAGTATAATATTAAAAACTGGTCTCAACTTTAAGCATATGAAACCAGAATGGAAGAAGTTAAGTTTGGAGTAAACCATTAAACCACCCCAAAGTCAAATTGGTTCCAATTTCAATAGATGTTATCGTATTAATCTGCAACATTTCTCGGTTCAAATCTTCCTTTCTGATGCCATTGCTCCATATTCCCGGTTGGTTACATCTTGTATGAACATGGCATAGTGAACATGGCATAGTCTGCACTGCACTCTGTAGTCGCCATAGTACTAAACATGTAGAGACAGAGCCCAAAGGAACAAAACCAGAGGTTATGTAGGAAAGAGTTGAAGAGGAGAAAGAGCTTAATGGAAGAGGCGATGGGACATGTGAATTCAAGGCGCTCCTAATTCCTATCATGATTCATGTGACTCACTCTCCCTTTATTCCCACCTCCATTTTCTTTTCTTCTTCTCTCTTATTTTTCCCCTTTGACAGAAATGGTCCCCAAAATGGAGCTCCCTCTCCATCTCTCTTCCAGACGCAAGACAATGACAAAAGGTTGAAGGGAGGGAACCAAGAATCTCTTTCTTCCAGTATGAATACGACCCATCAAACACACTCATATTCCCTTGCCCCAAATAAATGACACTTCCATTTCATGAAAATGGGTTCTTTCCCCTGCCTCTGCATTGATGTTAATCAGTTTCTCCCTCAACTGTTCCAATCCCAGTTGACGATTTCTTGTGCTTGATGATGGGTAACAGCGGGATCATTGTTATTTTCACCAAAGTGTATGTCTTTACTACTACTGTTCGGTATTTTTTTTGGCTTGAATGGAGACGTGAAGGGGTGGAAGGAGTCCGTCGCCAATAGTATGAGATATCTGCCTAAGGGGGTGGAGGGACATTAAATGTTATGTGTATTCAATTGTGGTTTCATGTGTTGCTTTTATAGGGGAAATTTCGTTTGATTAAATGCTTGTATCTGTTAAAGGAAACTCTCCCCACACACACCCCATCTCCAACTGTTCAGTAAGATATATCTAGCTGGTTTATGCATGCAAGCTGTTTGCTTCATTGCCTGAATGAAAAAGTCGGGTGAAATTCTGTCTTCTGCTGTTCTGCAGCAGCTTTCCCGGTTGGATTTTAATGGTACCACTCATATCTTCTCTATCTCTCTCACGCAGAAGCTACACTAATGGGGTTTGGTTATTGTCTGGCAAGTTTTGGTTTATTCTTACATTTGCCTGTGCAAGTGAGGTGATATATGGAGAGGAGTTGGGTCCTTCGGGAGGGGCTTCCTCACTTGGAACTTTGTGGCAGGGGTGAAATGTGAAAACATGTCCTGTCGTTGTAACCCATTTTGCCATTTAGTTGAAATTGCTCTGCCTTGGTTGTTTCATGGAATCTATAATTCCCAGGTTTAGCTGCAAAAAGTCAAAAAGTTATTCACTTTGTCATGCACATGATGTCTGGAATCATTTGTTTTAGCTTTCTGTCGAGCTGGGAGAGATAGAGAGAGAGAGAGTTAAACGACTATACCACTGCTTGCTTATCATGGCCTCTAAGGTACTTTTTGTTCAAAAGCTGCAGTTTGCAGATGGTTTTATTTAGAAGGCAGTGTCTTGGATTGACGTTGCTAAAACAGTGATTGCTTTTTCTAAGATTTTGGCTTTCGGTTTTGAGATCTTTCATGGAATTGGAAACTAAAGGGTAGATGTGGTGGGCTGCCTCAGTAGTCAGTTCTCAACCAATATATTGGTGTCTGGCAGGCTCATTTTTCAGGTTTTCAATAAGTTTGCAATCGATTCTTGGTTGGGAATCTTTAGGGATTCGCAATTTGTTTCTTTCTGCCAGATGGAAATTCTTTCGGCCTCTAAAGAAACAAACATTTCCATTGTCCTCGTCAAACTGGACAGCATCGTTATGTGCCTACTGCCTACCATTCACCTTCAAATTTGTGCTACTTGAGTGCTCTTTCTTCCTTTTTATTAATTCAGGGTTTAGCTGTTGCATCACTTCCACCTGTCTTATGCAAGTTTGAAACTTGATATCCTAGAGGTCTTTGTTTTCCTACTCTCAAGTAGAATGTGCAGAGAATAGGAAAAAAGGGAGTGTTGTTGATTGATGTATTCAGTTGTTGTTTGACTTGCATCCTTTAAGAAAGGTGCTTAGTTGGTATGCGCATTTCCCAGTAAGAAAATTGAAGGGTTTCTTGTTCTGGCTTGACGAGGAATAGTTTGAGCTGGTGGAGCTCTTTTGGAAACTTTGTTCCAGAGTTTCAAAGAGTATACCTATCATCAGAAGCTTTTAGTTCCATGGCTGAAGTATGATTAACTGTTGATTGCTACTTGCCGTGTTATCAATCCAGGATCTGTGTAAGATCCATTGGCCAACTCAAAGTTCAAGGAGTGATGCTATTTGACCATGCATTTGTTCCGGTGGCTACATTTGCCACTGTTTATGCTGGTGCAACTCTTACAGCTGTCAAGTACTGTTCAGATAAGGCATGGTTAGACTCTTCTAACTTCTCTTTGATTTCTTTAATGCTGCTTGTCTAAGCCAGTTAGATCGTATAGTTAATTTGAGGGACATGCTACAGTTCATTCTAGCTTCTAAGCACAGCTCAGTTTATATTTGCCACAGCAGAAACTTTGTTTGCTTGTGATTGTGAGAGAACCCTTTGCAACAAACAGTCCACTGGCTGGATAGAGGGATACCCCTGTCTAAGACAATCAGCAAGTCTTAAGCATCGCCAACTTCAAACCCAAGGTGTTGTTTCTTTGTAAGCTCCACCCCTCTCTTTCCCTTCGCATTGGCATATTAGATGTTCAGGTTCAATAGATTTTTACCAAGCATATCATCCTACCAACAAATAGACTTCATCAAGAAACAGAGAAGCTAGATGCTCTTGTATGTAGATGGAACTCTCCTTACTTCTTCTTGGACTATTTACCATTTACTCATTGCAAACAGCCTTTTCCCCTCTTCAGTTTGCATGGTTTTCTTGCTGCCCCTGAATTGGAGAAGGCTTTCTAACAACATGCTGCATTTTCTTATGTCTATTAGCTTATATTCCAAAGAGTCAGCCACGTTTATTTCCGACTGTTCAACCAAAATTTCACCTGTTTCTTCGCCATCTATTCCCGCAAGCTTGCGTTTAGGATTACCAGAACAGTTATATTTATTACATAACAGGAGGATAGCAAAGACAGGAGATGGATCCAATGGTGTTCCGACATTAACACCAGCGCAATCAGATGATGACACAAAAGCATGGAAAAGGAAAGTTGCAGCCATAGCTGGAGGTGTTGGTGCACTTCTGCTAGTAATTATCATAGCGGTGATTGTTTACTTGCGCATCAAGAAATTAGCATCACAAACTTCTGAAACGGAGTCCTCTGAACAATCCCCTAGTGAGTTCAGCATCATCCCAACATAAAGTGGCTTGTGAAATTCTCCTGTTTTTCGTGGTTGACTGTTGCAGTACGACTTTTCATTTACTTGTATTGAGCTTTTGGTTTGAGTTTCATCAATAATCTCTTTATGTGTTTTGCATTCAGCAACTGAGCTGGAGATAGTTGAAACTCCCACATATGCTAGTCCTCGTCTTTCCAGCACATCATTCCTGAGATTGTTGACAGTTGAGGAGTTGAAGCTAGCGACACGAAGTTTCAGTGACAGCAATATCATAGGTGAAGGGTTACTTGGTTTAGTTTATAAAGGACTGCTTCTAGATGGATCTATTGCCGCCATAAAGAAAAACATATATCATCCCGTACCGAACTTTGCTAATGAGGTACTTGCAAACCAAGAAACCTGCTGATTTTATCAATTGTATTAGTAAGAATGCTGCATGATTATCATGGTCTTTATGCTCTGCAGGTTGGACACTTAGCTTCTGTCCAGAACCAGCATCTTGTAAAGCTTATTGGCTATTGTGAGGACAGGAAGCAACAGTTTCTTGTATCTGAATTCATATCCAATGGAAATGTGGGACAATACCTCTATGGTAATTCAATGCCTCTAATCAAAACAGTTATGGTCCCACTCACTCATTCCCATCTTAAGTCTTCTCTGCTTTGTCCTTTCCTCAGATAGTGAAGGTCTACCTATTGGGAAGTTGGGCATCAAGCAAAGATTGTCTATAGCCTTGGATGCAGCAAAAGGTATGGCTCAGTCATCCAGTCTTACCTATTTTCTCAAAAATGTTTAGACCTTCCCTAGTTCCATTTCATCTTGTCTTGAATCAGGGCTTCGGTATCTTCACAGTTTGGTCCCTCCTTTCCTGCACCTGCACTTCAGAACCAGCAATGTGCTTGTGGATGAAAATTTCACTGCCAAGGTGTCTGACTATGGAATCCGCAAGCTGGTAGCAGAAACCCAGCACCCGGGATCTTCTTCTTCTGTAGATTACTTTCTCGATCCAGAGTACGCGAATGAGTTTCCTTCCTGCTTGTCATTTCTGATCCATGGCTAAAGCTTTGAACTTCGCCTTCTGTTTCCCCTAACGCATTGCTTCACGTGATGATGTTTCTAAGGTCGAATTCGTCGAGAGACTTCTCAGTGCTAAGTGATGTTTACAGTTATGGGGTATTCCTACTAGAGTTGATCAGTGGACGTGAAGCACATGGCAAGTATCAATCAAGTTCGGACCAAAATCTACTGCTACAGGTATCCTGTACAGATAACTCTCAGCCAAACAAGCACAAAACTGTGTTCATATTGTTCCTGACATCATGTTCTTCTATTTCGTAAAGGCTAGGGAGAGCAGCCACGATGACTTCGTGGACAAGTCACTCCAAGCTAAGGATCGAACGAAACGAATCATGGTGGATCTGGCATTGATGTGTGTGGATCATATCAGCACAAGGAGACCTTCAATGGCGAATGTTGTTAAAGCGCTTGAATGGATTCGAGAACGGGAAACTGGGCATGTGGATCATGACTGTGGTGAAGAGATTGGAGCTGTAAAACTTGGGAGTGAACTCTTCAAATGACCTCCCTCCCTTCTCATCTCCTGTCTTTCTGTGGAATTATACATTCAACTGCTGATTATTGGCATTCTTTATTGGACATAGTATAAGTACCAATGCTTAAAGACTTTTAGTAATTCAAACTTGCAAATTGGTCCAGAGGAGATTCAATCTATCTGCCTTGTCCTTCAAGATTAAGGAATGGAGTTGACTTAAAAAAAGATTAAGTGGAGTTGACTGAGTGAAAAGGAAAGATGGGTTTATTTTCAGAATTTGTTTTTTATTTAAATGATTGTTACTATAGTTTTATTTTGACACGAACATGTATTTGATAGCATTATAAAAACCGGAAAACAAAATAATGCCAAAAAAATATGGATTTGGTCAAATCATTCAACAATTTTCCTAATCATGTTAGATTTAATATTACAAATCAAATACGTTACTATGACGTTACATGAATTCTTACACTCCCACATGCAAAAAGGAACACACGAGTTTTTGAAATTCATTCATTCTACCTTAGGTGCCTGGCTCGAACTCAAATCGAATTATGGAAGGTTAGCTCGAGTTTGGCACGTTCATCTCCAATCTGATTTAGTAAATGTGAGGAACATAGTTTGTCGAGCTAACCACAACCTCGATTTGACGAAAGAATGTAATATAAAAAAATCATAGTGCTTAAGAGCACAAAAACGCGAGCAAACTTTAGCAATCTACATTATCAATAAACTTGCGAACTCTAAACAAATTCGTTACGAGCTAAGCTCATCAAAGTACTCAAATAGAACCAGTTTAGAACTTGACGAATTTTTAAACTAACTCAAATTTGTCTCGTTAAACAACGAGAATCCGATATGAAACCAATTTTCCCCAATTCGAACCCGAGTTTCTCTCGAGCGGCTTTGACATCGACAGCCAATAGCAGGATGTGACTTAGAAACCTAACTTTGTACTTTGAGTGTAACTCCAACTACTAGTCTGTCTAAACCCATTAACGGCAATAACGGTTTTGGACCTTTTGCTTATCAAACGTCCCGCCAAAACGGCGCCGTTAAAACTCCTCCCCCCGTCCAACTCCGTGACTAACCCATCAACCCTCCGCCATCAGTGGCCGTTAAATCTGAACAGTCTTTCACTTTCCTAATTCCTTTACTTACTCTCTCAGTCAGTCAGATCTTCTTCCCCCAAATTCCCAAGTCAAACCAACTCAAACAACAACAATGTCGGCCCGCTTCCTCCTCCTCCTCGCCCTCACCGCCTTCCTCCTCGCCTCCAATCCGGCTTCAGCTTCCTCCTCCTCCTCCGCCACCGACGTCGACGACGAGGACCTCAGCTTCCTCGAAGACGACGACGACACCGGCGCCGATCACACCGCCCAGCACTACCCCGATTCCGACCACTTCGACGACGAAGACGAAGACTTCGCCGGCGAAGGAGGAGGCGAATTCGAGAACTACGACGATCTCGACGACGGCGGCGACTCCGATCCCGACGCTTACAACAAGGCTCCCGAGGTCGACGAGAAGGACGTCGTCGTTTTGACCGACGGCAATTTCAGCGATTTCGTCAAGGACCGGAGGTTCGTGCTCGTGGAATTCTACGCTCCCTGGTGCGGCCACTGCCAGTCGCTGGCGCCCGAGTACGCGGCGGCGGCCACGGAGCTGAAGGGGGAAAAAGATGTGGCGCTGGCGAAGGTGGACGCCACGGAGGAGAGCGAGCTGTCTCAGGAGCACGATGTGCAAGGGTTTCCCACTCTGTATTTCTTCGTCGACGGGGTTCGCAAGCCTTACCCTGGCCAGAGGACCAAGTCAGTGATCGATTTTTTTTTTTCTCTCTCGGCTCTGTTTTCTACTTTTAATTTTAGCTGTTGAATTTGGTTGCTGAAGTTTCGGATTTCGTGTAGAGAGGCTATTGTTACGTGGATTAAGAAGAAGATTGGACCTGGAATCTCCAATGTCACCACATTGGATGATGCGGAGCGGATTTTGACTTCCGAGAATAAAGTCGCCTTGGGTTACCTTAACTCCTTAGTGGTGAGTTTTTCATTTCTCTGGTATGTGAATGGAATGAAGCATTGGGATTCTTCTGGCTGCTAGTTGATACCATTGTTTACTGTTCAACTTTTGGGATGATGTTGAGAATAATGGATTGATTGCTATCTAGCTGAGAGGGGTGTGTCTGTTTTTAGAATGGAGATATGGAATTGTGCGTTTTATGTCCAATGCTTGACTAATGCATTTGAATTCAACGACAGGGTCCTGAGAGTGAAGAGCTAGCTGCTGCTTCAAGGCTTGAAGATGATGTTAACTTCTATCAAACGGTTAACCCGGATGTCGCCAAGCTTTTCCATCTCGATGCTAAAGCTAAACGTCCTGCCTTGGTCATGATTAAGAAGGAGGACGAGAAATTAAGTTATTTTGGTATGCTTTTCTTTAGATGTTCATTTAAAATACTACTACTTTGGCGGGAGGCAGTATATAAAAGCTTCTTCCTTTTCTCTTGTAGATGGGAATTTCTCCAGGTCTAGCATAGCCGAGTTTGTATTCGCGAACAAGCTTCCTCTGGTTACCATTTTCACCAGGGAAAATGCTCCAGCAGTTTTCGAGAGCGAAATCAAGAAGCAGGTTTGTCAAGCAAAATAATTTGCAGGGACTTCCAATCAGAATTTCATTGGGCGAAACATTGACAATGCAAAATAATTTGTTGTTCTCAGCTAATTTTGTTTGCCAATAAAAAAGACACGGAGAAAGCGCTCGCACCATTCCAAGAAGCTGCTAAACTGTTCAAGGGAAAGGTATGTTGAGATCATTCTTTTAGTTTCATTTTTGTAGTAACCTGGTGATGTGCATGTTCTGTCTCTGTCTCGATATTGCATTAACAAGAAAATGCTGTTTTATAACTTCCTGAGTGTTTTAGAAGTTTGTCTGTTTACATATATGTGTATGCTGCAGCTCATTTGTGTATATGTCGATATGGAAAATGAAGATGTTGGGAAGCCTGTCTCTGACTATTTTGGTATCACAACTTCCCCCAAGGTAATACATTCCATTCTACTGCCGTTCCAGAAGAGTCTTCTCGAATTTTCTTGTTTCTTCTGGTATGCCAATGTTACGGTTTTGCATGTTTGCTGAACTCCATTTGTTTCTTGTTCCTTTCAATAGCTTATTGGATACACTGGTAATGAAGATACAAAGAAATTCATATTCGACAAGGAAATTACTGTGGATAATATTAAGGTTTGAACTCTTACTCTCGATATTGAATTTCTGAGGATTTATCACTTTCCAATTGGTTGCTTCACCCCCTCCCCGGGCATAACATGTCCATCTAAAATTGAACTCCATAAACTCACACCATGGTGTTTCTCTCCTCAGGCTTTTGGACAGGACTTCATTGATGACAAGCTCAAACCATTTTTCAAGTCTGACCCAATTCCAGAAAATGTATGTTGTTAATCTTCTTCCCATATTTCCTTTGTGCTACTACATTGTAGCTCATGATAATAACTTCTTTTGACAATAATGTTGTTTTAGAATGATGGAGATGTCAAAATAGTGGTTGGGGATAACTTCGATGAAATCGTTTTGGACGAGTCAAAAGATGTTTTCCTTGAGGTATTGCTTCACATATCACATACATTATTAGCTTTCAAAACTTCCTTCTGTCCTATGCTGCTTACTGATTATTGTGCAATCACATTCATCACGACACCAGATCTATGCACCTTGGTGTGGTCATTGCCAAGCTTTGGAGCCAACCTACAACAAACTTGCTAAACATTTGCGTGGCATCGACTCAATCGTCATAGCCAAGATGGACGGAACAACGAACGAACATCCCAGGGCAAAGGTAAATTTCACTTCGATCCATCTAGGCTCGAGCAAGTTTCTTATACTCGATTAAGAATGTTTTAAGGACTGAAAATCTGCTCTTGGTCTTTATAATCCCTTGCAGTCTGATGGTTTCCCCACGCTTCTTTTCTTCCCTGCCGGAAACAAGAGCTTCGATCCGGTATGTGAACTTAAACATTATGCTTCCATTTCTTAAAACTTCTCTGAATCACAGCTGGCAGACAATCATCATGACGCATGAGAAAACGTTTCTGTGGCATTAACAGATAACTGTAGACACAGACAGAACTGTGGTAGCGTTTTACAAGTTCATCAAGAAACACGCATCGATCCCCTTCAAGCTTCAGAAGCCAGCTTCTACAACGAAGCCAGCATCCGAATCCGAGACTGAAGTTCAGGAAACCAGCAGCAGCACAAAGGACGCGAAGGACGAATTGTGAAGAGGTGGAAAACTTGTACCGACTACCTAATACACCAGTGCTTCCTTAATCTATGTATTTGTGCCATCAGTTTAGGCTAAAAGAGGAAGAGTAGTATACAGAACCTGTGAAAAAAGCAAGCAATCCAATTGTGCCGCAGACATAGTCAAACTCTGTTCAGGGCCCAAGATGGGAGCGAAGAAAGATTCGAAAAGTGGAAACTTACTGACAGACATTCGAGTTTTGGTTTCTCCTTCCAAGTTTTTGTTCTTCTCAATCCAGTGCTCCATAGTGTGTAAACAGTTTAACGAACGTGTTATGCATCTTGGTAACGGTAACTCAACTAGAAGATGAAGTTAGTATTGTTAGTTTTGAACACTGAAACAAGGAAACAGTAGCTAATACATTTGCCAATCCTGAGCAAGCTTGCAGGTTTGAGATCAAATATGGATGAAGCAGAAATGGGTTTTGGAGATTATAGGATCTTTTCTATCTAACCAACCACCTTTACTGTATCTATTTTCTAATCCAATCAAAACCATTGATATTACTGGGAATATTGTTAGTCTGTTGTTTCAACTTACTATCTCAGGTTCCATCAGTTTGCAGCAGCATGGCTTATAGGTCGCATTCTTTCCCATCACTGAAGTTTGATGAGGCTGGCATATAGATACAACGGAAATGAACTTATCAATCTTTTATCAGCAGGTAATTTCAACAAATTTACTTTAGATCTATCCTTATGGTTTGCCAATCTAACTATGAACCATCACCTGGCTGCAAATGACTTCAGGTTTCTGACATGGCTGCTTCCCTACAGAAAGGCAAGATCCACATCCTAAGCTAATAGCTTCCCAAATTTCAAGATGCCATCAACACAATTATATATATACATCAGCACGGCAGCACCTGGTGAAAGTAACTTCACTTCCTTTCCTTATGTACTGCTGCTTGGCACTGCTATAGTCGATGGCGAGATTGGGAGATCCCGTAGCTTAGGCAGCACACAAGTACTGTCTCCCATTTGTGTTTGTATTCTAATCACAATTACATGTTCATTGAGTGGGGTTTGCAACAGATCAGATAGAAATGCTAACCCCCTCGTGTGGGTGTAATAGAATATTGGATCTGCAATCCACAACAATCATCAGTGATGAGATTCCTTCTGCCTGCCTCCCCCACGTCTTCTCCATAATAAACTACTGCATTCTGCATTTTTCTTTGTACACTGCATGTATGGAACAGAGCCACGTTATATGGAAATGCAAAAGCTTACAAAAAAAGAAATGGTTGGGTTTCTCATTCTGCAGCAGGCCCTGAGAAGGAACAACTAATGTGGCAGCTTATTAGAGATGCCATGTGCCCTATGCTGCTTACACAGCAAACAGCAGGCTCTGCTGATATATAAGAGAAATGGGCAATGGAAATTTTAAATGGGGGAAGAGAAAAGTATGGATCTTGGTAGGCTCATCCACTGCTTCAGAGCTCCATGCCCAATGAGCTGGGTGACTTGGTAGGCAAGGGACATTGCAGAGACACAATGCCGGTAAGCGTGGTGGATCCAAATTTGGTGGCCTTTGATTCCTCTTGTCTCTTAGTGCTCCTTAGCCAGTCTCCCTCCTCTCACCATCTATATAAACAAACTCTGGATGCCAAGGAAGGCATTGCAAATCATCTTTCTTCAACTTCAAACCCTTCCCTACATTTTCTCATTCCCACCAAAAAAATGGCAGCAGCCTCTTTCCATGCCCGCTCCAGCAGTTTGCCTGCCAGATCACACCCACTGGTCTCAGAAATCGATGAGCAAGTTTGCAGGTTGAGACAGTCTCAAGCTGCTTCCACATCTTCATCGTCCATAGGACACAACTTGAACAGCCTTCAGGGTGTTTATGATCGCGTTGACCAGTTGTTCCAACTGCCAGCAACTCAACAAGCCCTGATCAATGACCAGAAGTGCTTTAATGAGCTGTTGGATGGGTCTCTGAGGCTCTTGGACTTGTTCAGCACTGCCAAGGATGGTTTGTCCCAGATGAGAGAGTCTGTGGCTCAACTTCAATCCGCTATTCGCAGAAAGCAAGGTGGTTTGGAAGGAGAAACCAGAAGATATCTGAAATCTAGGAAGACTGTTATCAAAGCAATCCATAAGGTATTGAAGGGTATGGAAAACAAGAAATCCACTTCATCCAACAATGTTGAGACGATCGCCATGCTAAAGGAAGCTGAATCTGCTGTTGCTGAGGTTTTGGAGTGCTTGTTGACATTCATTTCTCAATCAAGCTCAAAGACAAGCAGCTGGTCATTGATTTCCAAGCTGAAAAAGGTTTCCACAGCAAGTGAGAATGAATTTGCTGATGTGGATGCCTCTTTGAAGATGAACAAATCTAGTGAGGAGGTCCAAGTTCACCTGAAGAACTTGCAGCCGTGCATTCAAGATCTTGAGGAAGGAGTTGAGAGCCTCTTTAGGCGCTTGATCAAAACAAGAGCCTCCATTCTCAATATCCACAATCTGTAGTTACATAGTCCAAACAATATTTGTACAAGTTGTATAGAAAAATTGATACTCAAATCTATAAATATACATGGTCCCCAAGTTCCCAGAAATTTATGTCTCTTTTGATTCATTGCTCTATCTACCGGCCTGGGTTCATGTGCTTAAGCCCAAATGCTTAAGTCATTCTATTGGTTTATAGTGGATTAAGTAATTAATAAGGAGTTAGTAGTTAATAGGTAGTTGATGATAAATAAGGTTAGGACTTTGCTACGGTGACATGCATGTCACGGTGACATGCACTTTTCGGTCGACCTCATATAGGATCAGGTCGACCTAATCAGTTGTTTCAGTGTAAAAACAGTTTCATGGTGCCTACTTTGGAGATTCATATCTTACAATTGGCTAGATAGAAATTGGAGGTTAAAGGCTTGTTTTGAAGCTGAAGTGTCCCTCTACACATTAAAGTACTTGGGAGCTCAATAGAAAGTCCAGAAGACCATTTTTGAACCTGACCAAAAGGCTATGCCAAAACTGGGAAACTGCCTGAAAATGACTAAGTCTGGCAACGTGTTTGTCAAGCCTACTTTGGAGCTCAATTTGAGAAGCATGGATGCGAGTCAAGTCCAGGGGCCTCTACCACGTTAAATTAAGTATTTTTTTATACAAAGGCAAAGCAATGAATGAAAGATTGAATATCTTTAAGGCTTCAAACAAAAGGCTCGAAGTTGCTACGAATGCTGTTTTTCTGGCAGCTTGCTTGTGCTCGAAGTCTGCCAGAAAACAGCCTTCGTAGCAACTTCGACCCTTTTGTTTGAAGCCTTAAAGATATCCAATCTTTCATCCAATTCCTTGAATTTGTATAAAAACATACATAATTTAACGTGGTAGAGGCTCCTGGACTCGACTCGCATTCATGCTTCTCGAATTGAGCTCAAAAATAGGCTTCACAAACACGTTTCCAGACTTAGCCATTTCTAGGCAGTTTCCCAGTTTTGGCATAGCCTTTTGATGAGGTTCAAAAATGGTCTTCTGGACTTCCTATCGAGCTCTCAATCACTTCAATATGTAGAGGGACACTCCAGCTTCAAAACAAGTCATTAGTCTTCAATTTCCATCTAGCCAATTGTATGATATGAATATCCAAAGTAGGCACCATGAACTGTTTTTACACTGAAACAACATATTAGGTCGACCGGATCCTATATGAGGTCGACCGAATCCTAAATGAGGTCGACCGGATCTTATATGAGGTCGACCGAATTCTAAATGAGGTCGACCTAATCCTAACTGAGGTCGACCGGAAAGTGCATGTCACCGTGACATGCATGTCACCGTAGGCACACCCATAAGGTTATTATGCAAATATAATTGATAGTAATAATTGATTATTCTCTTTCTCTCTCTTCACATAACTTTCTCCATAATCCTCTCTCTCCACAACAATTATGAGAAAATCTGAAATTAATTTAATTATATTTTATTATTTAATAAAATTCAAACTTAATAATTTTTTCTCATTTAAAAATGGAAATTGAAAATTAAAAATCAACTTTCTCACTTCGTGACAACATTTTGCAATAACATTGTCAACAATTATGAAATAAATAATTATTACTATACCTTATAATTATTAACGACTTCAATATACGTATCAATTCTTTTCTATTATATTATTAAGAATTTGGGATCAATTGTTATCAACGTTTATGAGCTCCCAAAATGTTTTTATTAATTATTTATTTGACGTGTTTGGTGATTATATTTAACATTGTCAATTTTTCATTAATTAGTAACGTCATCGTTATTATCAAATTTTACATGACTTGTTAATAAAACACTTTATGACATTATTAGTTTTGAACTTTAGTAACCTTTAATAAGAACACACTAAATCATTGATAATGACTATATTTAGTTGAAAATAAATATTTGTGTATTCAATAAAAACATAAGGTTTTGGTTTTTGATGTTTTCTTTATCAATAAATTTTTGTTACATTATTAACGGTTTGTTGCATCTCTATCAACCTAGGAGCTTATGTTTTCCAATTTGGACGTCAGGTTTATAAACTTCTTGATAAAGTGTACTATTTGCTTTTATTGTTGTTATCCATGTTTATGAAAAATGTCAAACAATTACACCATCAACTTTTATTGGTTCATTATAATCAATCCAAGGTACCGTTATCAACTTTTTTGCAATGAATTTTCAATGATATACAAAAACATTATCATCGTCTCCGAAATCATTTTTTGTTGTTTGTTAATGGGTTTAGGCTCATTGTTAACAATCTAATGTAATGTTATCAACAACATTGTTGATGTAATGTAAATTGTTATTAACGTAATAAAATATTTAAGGTTATAATCACTATGGCCGAACATTATAAAATTTTTAGTGAATTATTAATAAAATATAGTTATATTATCTATGTTTAATATATCATGATATCATATGTTGTTTGTTAATGTATCATGATATCACGTAGTTGTTACAACTTACAATTTCACTTTCACGTTAAAAACGTTAA